CAGGGCTCACTAAAACATTGTGAAACAAGTAGAGTTATTGTGCAACACTACATAAATAAGTGAATAAGCATTTGTATTAGCAACTGAAAATTCAACACTTTAATTTAGCGGCTGAATATTCATCCACTATATAATTTATTTAAAAGAGACTCCTGAACGAAAGATTTCGAGTTATTGATATTAATTATTTTTATTATTTTGTTTAATTTATTTAAATTTAAAATGTCTTAAATTATTTTTAATAATAGTAATATTTTATTCATGTAAGGTGCTCTTTATCTTCAATATTTGAGTGATTCAAATTTATTAAATTTTCTGATTTTTATTGTAATATTTATGAATTTTTAAAGGTTAAGATTAATTAATGAGTTATTTAATAAAGAGATTAAGGGTCTGTTTGGGGCAGCTGCAACTTATTAAATAATCTGCTGATAAGCTGATCTGATTAAAAATAATCTGCTAATCTGCTGATAAGCTAGGTGCGTTAGCTATTACAAATTTTTATTTTTTTGGAAAAGCTAGACCGCAATCAAAAAGTTGTCACCGCACCTAGACAGACGCGGTGTGAAAACATTGTTTTCAGCGTTTTGAAAACACATAAGTTGTCAAAACGCAGTTTATCCAAACAGGTCAAGTGCGTTCTCAAAACGTCACCGCACCAAATAAGCTGCCCCAAACGGACCCTAATTCATGTTTATTAAACATAAAAAATATATATATTCGAATAACCAAAATATTATGATCATTTAAAGTTATTTTAATATATTTTTAGATTTTATTTATTTTGTTATTCTATATTTTATTATATAATAATGTTTAAGAAATTACTCTTTGTCTCTAAGAAATAAACTCAAGACTATAGATATTTTAATACAAATTTGGGATAAAATTAGTTTAAATCAGAATAATTAAATTATTTAATTAATATTAAGCAATTGCTAATATTATTTTATTAAAATTAATTAATTCGGTTTAAATTTTTAATTTTATTTTTAGATGACATGGTTTAATTTTTTGAGTTTAAGGTATTTTTAATTTTGTTTATGATAATTTTTAGCATTTACAAATATTTTTTACTTTTTTATTAATTCTATTAGGTTATCTTTTGATTCTTCCATCACCTATGCATATCATTGCAGATGACATTATTGACTTGATCAGTGCAAACCAATGGGGAGGGCATACTTTTTGAAGTGTTCTCTAGAATGACTCAATCTTGACCATTCATTTCAGTTAAATTAAATGAAAGGTGTGAGATTCTTCTTCTTTCTCTCCTCAAGAAGTCACAATCATTCACAAAAATGGTCATGATTCGAACGAAATTGGAAAGGGAACCTAACTCGAGTCCAACTAGGGGTGTAAACACGTCGATTGGAGCTCAAGCCAAGCCATTATTGAGCTCGGCTCGTCTGTCACATTGTTAGATCAAGTTTGAGCTCGAGTCTAGCTTGAATAGTGCGTTCGAGTGTGACTCATAGTGGTATCAACTGGCTTGTGAGCTCAAACTACAAATTTGATTTTTATGTGAGCTCGCCGGAGAAGGTATTGATAGGCGGCGGCAAAGGAGGATGCAACGGCAGCTCACTGGAAAATACATCGAAATGAGTAATGTACTTATCGTTGTGATGTCTCTCCGAGCAGTCTCCAACCATTCACAAGAGCTTGAGATCACCAAAAGGTTATCGTAGATGTTTTCTAAATAAATATCAAACTCACGCATTAAATATGTTTTCTAAATAATTTAATAAAAAAGTTGTCCTTGCAAAAAATATAAAATGTAATTGATGACTATATGCCTACATACACTTATAAATAAATAATATATATTTTTTAATTTTTTAGGCATGCTGACAAAATTGATTGATTTGAGTTTGGTATAGTGGAGAGCAATGTTTGATTGGTGTTAAGCTCCTATAGGCTTTAATGGGAGTAAACCAAAAAGGTCGAAATTAAGAATATAAGTTTATAATTCAGAAATAAGTAGTAATTATCTTAATGATTGTAATTTTAAGAACGGTTGAATTCAAATTCGTCCTGTTAAGCATGCCCAAGGATTGATGCTGTAGGGAACAAAGAGGAAAAAAAGAGAGGGCGACGAAGGAAGTAAGAGAATACACGCAGGCTTGTCTCGTGAGAGCGAACTGGGATATTCTCGGGCTCTATAACCCTTTTATGTATCTAAATAGAGAAAAAAAAATGAGGAGGGCTCCACCTCTAAAGTATAGGTCTCGATTTAAGAGACAAAAAACCTCTTATACATGCACTAGACCTTTTATTTATAAGAAACTAAGGGCCAAAAAGCTTAAATTTACATACTTTCCCTAGCTTTTATGAGGGGGTTACATGATATTGATGTCTTTTTCTATCAGTAGTCATTATAGTCATCCTTTAGTATTTATGAATCCTTCAACTGGCGGATCCTTGAGTCAGTCGATTCAACTGGTGTTGGTCAGTCATTTTACCTAAACACTGGAAAATCTTTGTTGGTTAGCTCTGAGTTCAATGATCTGTCGGCTTTGGTTACAGTGATGGGTTGACTCAGTTTGGTCGATCGATCTGTTGGCATTCTTCAACGGAAATGTTGGGAGATTTTCGATTGTTCTTAGTTATCACTCAAGCTATAATTAACTATTAAAATAATAATTCATCGAAAGTGTCTATATGCTTAGAATAAAAATAAATTTAATTTTTGTTTATACATAGAGTGGGTTTATGGATCTTTTTCATGAATTTTACTATGTCAAGTTTGTTTCATTCTTCCCAAAAAAAATTATCCCATGAAAATCTTCTATATAATATTTTCATTCATTCATTCTCTCTCTCTCTCTCTCCCCTCTCATTTTCATCCCCATAATGATAATTGGAAGATGTTTTGAACAAATATAATACCACGATTTTAGGGAAAAATATTACATCATGACTCATAACGTAGAGCTACGTTTGGAGTCCACTGATATGAGGACACGTGATTTCAAGGAAACATGCGCGTTTTCATGTGATCCAGCCCGGTAACACAGGAGAATATTCCTCCAGTATTATTTCGTATTATTCAGATGTTATTGTGGTGGTATTGATGTGTTATTGTGATATTATAACACCGGGAATATTCTCAGAACACAATAACACATGAATACCACCACAATAATACCTGAATAATGTTGAATAACACGAGAGAAATATTCCCCCGCGTCCGCATATCAGTGGACTCCGAACATAGCTCTATTTTAGGAGCACTGATATAATATTTTTCCCGATTTTAGAGAAAAAAAAAAAGCTTGCTTAAGAAGTAGATGACAAACATATTAATAAACTAATAAATTGAAATTTATGACTTACTTATTATGTACCCTACTTTAGTGGAACCTTAGTTAGTATGTCAGTTTCGAGAAACTTTAGAAAATTTTTGTTTTTGCCTCGATGATGAGTGAGCACTTCTTCTTTTCAACATCTTTGCAATAATTGCTATTCTATATCACCTTCATATTTGGTTTGTGTCGCAATGTTGTGCATTAATAATACTCATATGACTTGATAAATCACACTCAAATTTATTTTAAATAGAGAAGTAAAGAGAGGGAGAAGATATTAAAAATATATGATGGGATTATGCCTGTTGGTTCATGGTTTTTATAATCATTTGTAGGCTCAATGAAATTGCGAGATGATCATTCATACTTTGTCCTTTCACACTGCACTTATGGATGGCAAAGATGATAGTTATTTATGTGGAGCAACTTACTCGAATGGTGGGGTGTTATTTTTGTATGCACCTAATTTCTCATTGATTCCTTTCTTATGTAAGGGAAAAAGTTATTACGTGTGGACGTTCGAATTTATTAACATTCTGGATGGGGAGGCCAAGTTAGCACGAATTTAGGTGTATGCGACATGTGGTGTGACGTCCCAAGCCACTGTTATCTGTACGTTTGAATCCCATGCGGTAAGGATCCAACTTAACTTTTTCGGGTGATATAAGTGTTTGATTTTTGTGCTTCGCACAATGACACCTAAATTTACCCTCAGACCAAGGAAAATAATATCTTGTTGGTGATAGTTCAGGCTACTACAAATGCTAGATGTTTCTAGGTGAAACAATTTGACGATATTTTAAGTGAATTATGAAACACCATAAAGTAAAATGAAACTAAATTTTTAAACAATGAAGCACACGTTTTTGTGCAATTGTTGGAATTTTATCAGAAACTTTAAAGTTGAGTGCGGTCATCAAAGTGCACTGCTCAGATGAGTGATGTTCTTGGAAGTTATACCAATGAGACAAGATAATGAGACCATTAATCCAAAGAGAACAATATCTCGTTGGGTGAGAATTTAGGTTGTTACAATAATAGCAAAGCATTACACTAGGTTGAAGAGATGAAAACTTGATTGGTGGATAATTATGGCTCATGAGCATTGACAAGTGTTATGAAATATATATACCAGAGCAGTTGATGTGGTATATATATAAATCAAACAGGAGAACGATCGACGAAGCGAAAAATAGAATGAGAAAAATTACACTAGAAAAGAACACACAAATTTACGTGGTTCGGCAAATTGCCGACATCCACGGAATTGTAGAGGATTTTACTACTTGAGAAAATTTACACTAGTCGATCTCGTCGACTTACAAG